TCATCCCATAAAGACTGCATTTGAAACTCACTGATATTCACTGATTTGTCAAATTCCAACATTCCCCTATTATTACACATTAATTATGTCGGGATGCTTTTAAATGCTTTTTTAAACCTGGAATGGTTTAATCTTCTCATTGCCTTCCCAGATTTAGATAACCTCATGGTCCTAAAAATATTTCCTGTACAACTGAAAAAAAAAACCCTGGGAAATTCTGCAAAAACTGTCCGTTTTACCCAAATAAAATTTCATCTGACATGTTTAAATTCAATCATTGTCTAGCTTGCACTAACTCTTCTGCTGCTTCTCATGTCTGTCAGAACACTGAGTGCCTCTCTCTCAAAATGGAGTCTCGCCTCGCAGCGATTCCGGCGCCAGTCAGCAGCAGGGGCTGAGGGGCATTAATCACCAGATCGTTCGCAGACACGCTGGACGGTGATGTCATTCGCGCCTGCTGCCAAGCGCTGGCCAGCCGTCGATCCAGAGCCCAACTCTTTCACACCAAAGGACGGAATAATCGATTGAACACCAGAATGTCGCTGTCTGTGAACAGTAATAGCTACATAATCCTCTGCCCTCATTTGTCATTTTACGCTCCAGTGCTGCTGTTATTGTTTGTAAACGTTGCTCATGTTATCAAGAAAGAATTGAGCGAGTCAACAAAATCTATATTAATTTTTGTAAGAATCAATGATATTCTAGTAATTAATTATGCAACCCCGCAATTATCCAATTCATTTTTTTTTTCCTCAAGTGGCAGGCACAACTTATCAAAATATAATGCCATTGTTTTACTGCTACAGCATGAACAAAACATAAAAAAGTATCTGTGATGCCCTTAGGGATAATTAAGTTATTCATGGAAAAAATCTAATTAGGCACAATTACAGAAAGAGCAGCATCTCAAACAAGAAAAAAAAATATTTGGAAATAACTATTCCACATTTTGATAAACGGATATTGTTAGGTTAATCGGCCACAGAAACCTCTGAAGTCATTTAAAGAATGCACAAATTTGCACCCACAAAGTTCACCCCGCTTTACTTCCCTGGTCACGTTGCATGTATTAGGAGTCAAATCAAAATAACAGGCTGAAAATGTCAATGCACCATGGTTACCTCAGGGGACAGAGCAATTTGGAAAGATCAGCCCAATGGGAAGGGGAGGTCCAGAGTAGACCGGCTTCTCTTCTAATCGTTCCACATGCATTAAATAACGCGCATTAAATAATGCAGGACACAGACGGACGGGCAGAGATGCCTCTCTTTCTCCCTCCCACAGGTTCACACTGAGCAGACAGATGGAAATGATCTCCACCAAATGACATGCCTCTCTAAAGCCGCCATGCTTTATACCCTGATGGTTGCATACGCCGTTAAATGGAAAGCAGGGAGTTTGCGGCCACTTATTTTTAGAGTGTTATTTATTTCATTATTGGGCTAGCTCTGTGGTTGGCACTATAACATCACATCTCCGGGTTTGGGGATTTGGGCCTGGCCCCCAGCTCGATGCGTGTGGAGCTTCACATGCCCTCTTTGGGCACTTCAGTTTCCACCCGCAGTCCAGAAACATGCGGTTAGTTGAATTGGTGTGACTCAATTGCCTTTTATGTGTGAGTGTGTGTGTGTGTGTTTGTGTGTGTGTGTGTGTGCACCCTGCGATGGACTGGCATCCCATTCAGGGTGTCCCCTGCCTCGTGCCCTGTGCTTCCTGGGATAGGCTCCAAGCTCACCATGACCCTGTACTGGGTAAGCAGCTATGGAAAATGGATGGCACAAATCCAGTCCTGTTTGTCCATGGACTTCTGTCTTTATCAGATAAAATTACTTTGCACACTTTTTACCTCCTGGGCCCCCAAGTCCCAAATTGCAGTCTCCATGGTAACCTGCTAACCTATGTGCATTTGCTTCATGGTTAATAAGTGGACATAGTCATTGCTCTTCTCTGGAATTGCAAAAATTGATTTTGATTAATTGTGATTGATTGCGCCTGGATTCATTGCGTTCCACAACAAATTATCAGGGCCAAAAACAAGGCAGCTTGAAGCTGACATTTTGGCCCAGCTGTCTTCCTCAGACCCAAATAACTCCTTTTTCTTTTTGCCATGAGTGATGCAAGACCCTGTATTTGTGACTTTCGGCATTGCGACAGGAGGCGAGGGTGCTTCAGTTGTTGCTGTCATTACCAAGGACGTTCTTGTGTTCCTTTCGGACTGGAATAATGCCATGATTCATAGGTGTTGGAACCTTGGTGGGAAAGCAGCTCAGGGGTTATGTTTCGATGTGGTGGAGACGAGCCATGTCACAAAGGAAGTGCGGCAGATGATTTGTTTTTCGGTGAACAGACCGGGAGCCTCGGCACGGATGGTGACGGCGCGAACTAAAAAGCCAAAAACGGTTGCTGGCGGAGCCTCGCGGATCCGCTCGTCAGCACCTGCGTCAAATCAAATTATTGTTATGAACGGCGTTTTCCCGAGCTACGAGCATCGACCCTGCCACAGCCCGAGTGTCCCTTTTCAACATCACTCCTCACTTGATGAGTTTCTCAGCTTGATGACTCTTTGGACGCCTCACCAAGGCTCCTAATTCACATAGTGGCAAAGGAGCTTCTGATCAAGTTCTAGTGTAACTTAATGGGTCTCATAAATGTTGTCTTGGTCATATGAACAGCGGAGCTATAATGTTTACGTTTATTTCTTATTTTTCCATGTTGGCATTTTTAGTTATTCTGCTTAATTACAATTAAGGGCAACTTGTTACACATTTTAAATTGAAATTGAAACAGTACTGTCCCTTCAGGGATTTAAACCCGACGTAATATATATGCTACTATGATCCCAATCGCAACACTAAGAAACACATTCAAGAAAAAATTCACACACAAAACAAGACACTTAACTGTCTGTGATCAATAGGAAAAGGCTGCGTGCTGATCAGGTACACAGCCGGCCATCATACGGCCAGGTATGCTAAACGGCTACAAACTTCAAATGCAACAGTTGGCAGCAAGCTAATTTTGCTCTGGAATGTGTATTTGTGATACCAGGACTGTGATGTTCTTTGCATAACAATAATGTTACCTGCAACTCAAGAGTATATGAAAATGCTAAATACTCATTGACCCTAATCATTCATAATCACTCCTGTCTCCGCAAACTTAGACGCATAACATCTGTTGATATATGCTATTATATTTTTAAACTCCTTCACAGCATCACAAATCATCAGACCTACGGAACATTATCTCTCCTGCAATATAAAATATACTGTTGCCAAGGAAATAAACGAGACAAATATTAATATTAATGTACAAAAGGCATGCACCTGAATATTCTCTTGTTAGAACAGCCTTCTTTTTTCATAGATGGTCTTCAGGGGTTTTCACTCAATTCACACGCTTAAACGGAGCAAAAAGCAGCCCTTAAATCCACTAAGGTATCCTGAATCCGCATCTAATCTTATCTACTCTCTCATCTTCTGGGTTAAAAGCCCCCACCACTGTCCACTGCTTAGTCCCCCAACCCTATAATTTCCCCAGTGCCTCTACTTGTCAAGCAAGCAGCCAGATTTAGTTTTTAAATCTTATTGCAAGGAACATTTAGAAACTTTGCTCCCAACCTACCTGCTGCCAGTGCTGCGTTGGCTGTGAGTGGCTGAATCTCTGCCTCGCACAAACCACAACGATGTGAGGACTGATTGAATGTGGCGGAACTGACCAATAGCGATGCAGCACATCTTGTGCGCAACACACACACACAGGCCCGCACACACAGGCGCACAGAAGCAGGAATCCATGTCAGTATCCTTATTTCCGAAGTCCACAGGTTAATAATGACATATGGGACATAAGCAAGCAAAATACAGAGTACTTTTTAATTAGTCCATGCATATTGTGTCCTAGATTATGAATGACATTTTTTATCTGGTAATTTTTATCCGGGAGTTTGAAACTTAGAATTCTGACATCCTTTAATGTTCAGAATTCCTCCTCAAATTAATAAAAATTGGTGCATAATTAATTTTTGTTTGTGATTAAGATGCACGTGCCACCCTTTGAATTAATATGAAAATGTTTGTTTCCTTCGAAGTTATTATTAATTATCAGATTGTTTTATGTTCCATATTTGTCATTCACATATAATAGATAATCTTTCTAAGAAAAAAAATTACCAAATTACCATTATACAATTATTTGTTTTATTTGTTTGAAAGCCAAACAGCAAACAAAAAACAGGAAGTAATTCATTAAAATGGAATAGCTATAAGGGAAATCTTCAGGTATAAGGTCATGCAAAAGGACAATTTATTTTTTGACACATGAACAGAAGTACATTGTAATTATACATTCTTCTTGTCTTTCCACTGCTCCAAAAAGCTTTCTGTGCAGATTCCTTTTGTACACAGTGTGACCCTCATATTTGCACATTTTCAGTGATGGTTCACATTTATTTCTTTAGCAGACCTGAAGCAGCATATATTTGTGAAAGCAGGATCAGCCGATCCCTGGAGGAACTTAGGATAAGTGTGTTGCACAAGGACCCAATTGTGAAATCGTTCCACCAACCTCAGGATTTGATCCAACAACACTGCGATCAGAGCTGCAGTGCACAAAACCACTGAGCTACAACGAGCTTTGATTTCCAAACAATATCCATCCATCCATTAACTTTCCATACCAACTTGTCCTATGCAGGACCAAAGGAGTCTGGTGCCTGTCCCTAAAACTATGGCCACCAAGCAGGAAATAACCCAGAATGGGACGCCAACCCATCACAAGCAAACAATATCTCAAATTCTTAATTTCATGTGCTTATTTCATTGTTCGCTAAATCAACATATAATTCACTCAGAAGTTGCAACATAGTAGTCCAGGTTGTATAGTCTTGACCAAGTTTTGATGCTTAAACGTTTTAGAATCAGTATTTAAAGGTGCTATGTTGGATATACTGAATATACAAGGGTAAGAAAAAGCAAGAAATGAGTGCACTGCACATGAAGCTTTGTCATTAAAGATTTTTAATAATAAAGATTCTTGAATACAAATTGTGGCAATCAGTGAAAAGAAATTTTTGATGTAATGATTCCTGCACTGTGATGATCATATGAATTAGTACACATGTGAGCAAAATATTTTTTTATTTATGTTTTTAGTGACACTTTTTTTGTTGATATGTTACTTTCTTTACCGGGGAATAGTAGCTATACTGAATGCCTTTGGGACAGATCTCTGTGTTTGTTTTCACTCCTATTTAATGGGCAAATACTATTTAATGGTTCATAATTGTCTAAATACGATTTTATTAAGTCCAGTAATCAGTCTAATAAACAGTGCCAGCAGAGAGATTACATATAGTGAGATATGGAACGTAAAACACAAACAACTATGCAAACAATTTGAACATTCGGCGAAGGAAACTATTGCGGACAAACCGACTGAAATGATTTGTGAAAGTGCTCAGACTCCGCAGCCTTGCTGCAGCCGCTATAGTCTCATCCACTCTGTCTTGCATTGTGCAGAGATGAATATGCACTTTGGTGTGCTGCTCTTCAGGACATACTTAAGGCAGCTACCAGAATCGTATTCTTTGGAGATTATACCCTTTTCCCTAGCCTGGCCATTCTCATTCTTAATGCTGTGGGGAAGAGTACAGAGAAAATTTCAGTACACCTCATACATCACCCATAATATCTGTTTGTGTTGTATAACCTCTTAAATACTATGTACCACTGCATTACTATACTGTTATTAACAATGCACATACACACACACATATATATAAATGCATTTCAATCCTGTACTACATTTCCCCCTGTTGTTACACAGTATACTATGTTTTATATAATGGTCTCTATATATTATTCTTGTGTTGTATATAATTCTCTAGATGTGCTGTGGTTCTTTGTTTACCCCATTCTCATCTACAGTAATGTATGCATATTTTGGTCCTTAAAAAGCACTATCCATGATCATCATCCTCAAAATCATTGTTATTATTATTATTATTATTATTATTAGTGTCAATATATAGCCTATTTAAGAAATTCTTATTGGAAAACATTGTTGACCCTGTGTTATTTGTTTAAACTTATTTAAAATCTAAAAGTGAATGACTACAATCTATTTCCAAATATCAGAAATTTCAGGGAATTCCCCAGTTCTCTGAAAATAAACATAATAACGTTAATAACATGTATGTTACATGCCCTGCATGTTATAGAATTGTACCAAGGGAAAATGTATTATTGTACTTTTAGTTACAATACCTGATGATTAAAAATATTTTACGTTTATTCTATCAAAATATCTGCCCAGTTATATTTTTATTACATAGTATTTTACTGTCCTTGAATGTGCTAAATATTTTAATATATGATTCCTGGTACTAAGTAATAATCTGGGGGTAAAACAGGAGACTGTGCATATATTCATTAAAATACAGCAGATTTATGAGTGCTGCCAGTGTTGTGTGAAGCCTGCTTACATAACAGATTTTGCTTTTAAGATTCATTTGAAGAGAAATTGGGTACTATGAAAGCGATGCATTTGAAAAGGCAGGTGTAATTCAGCCTCTGGAATCTATTTTCTTATGCAACACTTGAGAAATGTTATATAAGTACCACTCAAGCATATATTATAAGCTGTCACTTTAGTTTCAGTCCCTTGCATTTTCAACTATTGAACTGGGCTAAGTAGTTGGGAGGCAGGTTCTGTGACTGATATAATGCAATGATGTATTCCTTGCTGTGGGTTGTCATGAAGCATAATAAGGATCTATTTTGAAATTTGATTCGGAATACCATACACAGGCATACACACTGGTAAATATACTAATGTCAAAAGAGTAGTTGAGAAATTACTGAAAGTGATAAGATATTAGCAGATATATATTGCATAGAAAATCAAAGATTAATATTAACACATTATTAGCATTTTTTAATGCAATTTGCACTTTATGTTACAGCGGTTGGCTGTCATTTTTCGATAGAGTGTCTGTTTAAATGCAGCCTATGCATAAATAATTAGGTTTCTTTCCTGTTTTGCCTATCCAGTTGTACAATGTTTTCTCAGTCTTTAATTAAATAATTTGCCCACCCTGCGAAATAAATAATCTAATTCAGCCTCAATCAAAAACGGTAGCATTTTCAGTTTCCTTATTATGATAAACATCTAGAACTGATTTGTGGTATGTGTAACATCTTGAGGATCATAAAAGACCATCATAAAAAAAGTTTATATTTCTCCAAATGTTTGGTTAATATTGCTGAAAAACAAATTTAAAAATGTGCACAGCAGGTTTCAAACCAAAACAGGAGTTACAGAAAGGGGAAAGGGATGAACAATCATTATAGTCATCGAATATTACATTTGGCAGGTGCTAATGCAAATTTTTTTATGAGCAGGCAAAAGCACGACGTTTGGTAAATAGAAAAAGTACAGCACATGATGATGTGTGAAACCAATGACTCAGAAATGGACTGGTAGCTAAATGAGCAAAGCACAGCTGAAACAAGCATGTTAGTGACAAATCACAAGCGCATCAGCCTCGGCCACTGGGTGGAGACAGGAGTTCGACACGGCAGATTTCTGAACAAACAGTCGACGCCGTTAGAGTATGTACTTCTTGTTGAAACCATACAAAAGTTTATTCAAGACAGTTAGTGTGCAAAGGACAGCTTGAAATTGCATGACAATCAGCAAACTTACTGATATATTTATACAAAAGTAGTACTACTAGGTGACTATGTCCAGCATGTGTTGTGTTTCAAGAGAATAGCAGGCTTGTTAGTGCATTCTTGAAAGTGTTTTCAGAAGAGGGAAGGAGGTTAGTGTTTAATGAGGTCTTTTGGGTTAACAAGTGGCCGTGCTTTTCCTTCCTTTTACTACCTGTAGTGGAAGGGTCTTTGGTGCCATCATCAACCATCTGCTCAAAACTCTGCTGAGCCTGACTCAGCCCAGATTGCTGCCCTTGAACCTGAACTGTTGCATCAGGCAGTGTGTAATTTTGGTTCAGGGTGGATCTGGTGTCGGCGAGGTACTGCTTTGCTTTGGAGCTCCTGTTCATCTTTGGCTGGAAGACTTTGCTGCAGCAGCCGTCGGGGTGGTAGGATAGCTGCATGTCAGGACTGTTGTCGTCGTCGTTGATGACCACCAGCTCTGCCTGGATGACTTCCCCCTCCTCATCATTATCTGCGTTTTGATAACCCATGAAGATCATGCTAACTGGCTTGGAGGAGTCTATGTTTTCTGGCATAGTGTTCAGAATATTGAGTTTGGAAATCTCAGGAAAGGGGTCCTGGTGACTCAGACTGGAATCCAAGGGTAGGGCTGCTCTATCACCCTCAATGGACAGTGCTGGACTGCACCTGTTTCCATCAAAGTACATTTCGAAATCTAAGGGTGTTTGGCCACTGATGGGAATATTATTTTGGTTGCCCTTGGAGTGTTCAGGAGGCTGCTGGACCTTCCTTGTGGACCAATGAAGTGGAATGTGAGACAATTCTTGTATCTTTTGCCCCTGAAGAAGAGTCACCTCACTGTTCTGGATGTTCTGAGATGAAGTTACGTTCTTGAAGGATTCTCGACGAGGAGCAGGCCTGGGGCTGAGTTGGTCCAGGTTCTGTCTCTTGGGAGTGGATGGTCTGCTGTAGGGACTTGAGAACACAGGGTCATGATACTCCACGTCAGCCTCGAGACTTTTCTCCGTGGCCTTCCTAAGAAGCTCTTCCACCTCTTGAGGGGTAAGTTCTCCCACCCCATTTTGGACTCTTTGGGCATCAGAGGGCAGGGCATACACTGACTTTCTCCCATCATCGTATACCTTGATGCCTTTCTTTGGTAGATCTTCTGTTGTGACAGTTGCTGTTGATAGAACTTGGCTCTTTCCAGTTCTCATGTCCTTCTGCACGTTTATTTCCATTACAAATAAAGCTGTGGATAAAAGAGACCCTTTGAGTATAGAGTAACAAGCATCATGTAGGGAAGTAAGACTCCTGTACTGCCTTTTCATATGAATAACTGGCAACTGGACTCATTGCTTAATTTTAATCTTTACTGTAAGTGTAACTGCATCAAGTATTCAGAAACATATTTCATAAGTAATTGTATTTCCACGCATCTATTTACCATAATGAGTCACTATACAATGCTAAAGATGAACAGTTTTCTTATTCTTGAGTTAAATAGCATAACACACCATGAAGCCAGAGAAAATAGCCTAATTATAAAAAAATCAACAGCTTTTATCAAAGGCACTGTTAGCATTTTTAATAATTAGGTCAAAGTAGATTACCTTGTTTAGATTCTTCAGGGTCAGGGTCCAACTTTGGGCTTGACATCTTCTTGAGCTGTTTGGAAGGTTTGAAGGACTTTGGAATATCTGGAATTGCTGAATAAACATATTGTATTGGATCTGCAAGGCAATGGACACCTCTTACTTTCCACTTTTGCTTGATTAAATTTGATAAAAATTGAAATAAACACCTATCAAAGGACAGGAGACGTAGTGACAAAAGTAATTACCTGGCTGGATATCAGCATTTACTTCCTGTGCAGAGATATAGTAGTTCAAAATCAAATTCAGGAAGAAAAGCCAAGCAAAAAAATATTTGAAAGGTGAAGAGCGCAAACATCAAGTTAATCTGTTCAAAGCCACAAAAGGGACTTTCATACTAAGAACAAACAGGAAGCAACCTGCATACACCTGCATACCCATTGTCCGTTGTCGTAACCGTTTCTTCCAGTACCCATCTGTTGGTGACCTCATTAACATCTGGCCTTGTAAAGTCCACCAAGCACTCACTCACCAACTAGTCCCTGTATAGGCTGAATTCCACTTTGAAACCACTGCACAAACCGTAATGCCTCTTTTATTGTCAATCACACATCACATAAAACTAAGACAGCGGATTGATGTTGTTTGTCCAACACAAGTAGTATCAGATGTGCAATACCTTTATGATGTCCGCAGCTGTCTTCTCCACTTCTTTCAGCCGTTGCAGAACGAGCATCTCGTTCTCTGATATTGTCAATTCCCGACTCTCCAGAGCCTCTATTTCCTTCTCTATCCTGCAAGCCAGATGCAGACCATTAACATGTTACAGCACTATCTGGGGGAAAAACAGAACTTGTATCTAAACAGAACCTGTCCTGTTGAGATCGAAACCTTCCAAGACGGTAGGGAAGAATAAGTCCTTGAGACCACATGGGCATCTCAATATCATAAGATTACAGTAAGAGATCTAGATTAGATTAAAATTAGTTGAAGATCAGTTTAACTGCACATGATATCTCCCCTAAGAGTATGAAGATGGATAAAAGCTTTATAGTGATCCAAGAGATTAAATTCTAATATTGAGCCTTCACAGTTTGAGCCTTCACAGGACATCTCATAATATCTTACAAACAGAGAAGCCTTCACAGTTTCCAGGACATCTCATAATATCTTACAAACAGAGAGTGAGTCTTTCCCTATGACATACACATATACCTATTATTATACACAGTCAGGGGTGTAGCTATACATTCTGGGCCCCTGATAAAATGTCACCCCACCATCTCCCTTATATTCTACAATTGTATTATTTTATGTATTCAAGGGCCTCTATAAAGTGTTGGGCCCCCTGAATCTGCCAGGGTAGCCATGCCCCCCTGTGCCCCTGTACACAATATGCATTGTTCTTACTTCTTCAAGATAGTCTTTCTTTCTCTCATTCCCACAAGGTTAATGTCTTGACATAATATTTCTATACCAACAATTCTGGGACTGATGAACAATAATAGGGTTCCTGAGTAATAAGACTTATTTTAGCCTTTTTGTTTGGTGATGGAGTGGCGATCACCTCTGGGAATCAGGCTAGTTTCTGCAGTTGTTGAGCAGGTCAGTTCGGATGATTAAAAGGGGGGTTTCTGCGGATCCCTTTCTCACCTCCTTTGTTTGGCTCTGAGCCCAGTGATCCAGGATAATAACACATTCAGAGGGACTGAATGCTCTCAGTATTGACAGATGTGTTTGTTGTTGCTCCAAGCTCAAAAAAGAAAATAATCATCCATACATCTATATTCTTGGCTCAGCGGCTTGCACTGTGGCCCTGCACCTCAATGGCTGGGGGTTTGAACCCTGATCCTTGTCTGTGGAGTTACATGCTTCCCCTGTGTTTCACAAATTCCCTGCGGTCAGCTTCTACAGTGCTAAGTAGGCCTGCCGTTTGTCTTGCATATACCCAGGGACAAGATGATCTCTAAGACCCCCACCCCCACTTCCCGACTGTGCACAGGCCGCTGACTGGCTATACTGCACGCACAATGCATGTTCCATTAGCACGCGGCAGAAGAGCTCTCACTCAAAGAGCACACACTATTCAATAACTAAAAGGCTAGCCCCACCACCAAAATTCAACATCTTTTATGAAATACCTGGCCATAAAGTTCTCATTTTCTCTTTTTCATTTTTTCTCTCCATTTCTGAGCACCTCACTTTTGTTGAATTGCCATTTTGACAGTCAACTGGAGAAGGGAGGTTCTGGCTAAATGTTACATTTCTGACTTTACCATAGCGTGACAGATCAAATGTTTTTTTTTTTTTTCTTTTGAATTATAGGGATGGAAAGTAAAATTGTTTTTGATCGCTATATCAGTTAGACTACTTTGTGTCTCTAAAATTGCCCATAGCATGTGTATACATGTGTGATTATCACACATGTACAGTATATATTGTACAGCTGTTTCTACCACATTTGCATTATTTTAAACTTTGGATTGGATGCCAAAACTGCATTTTTTTTCTCAGTACTTATACTTATGTGAAATGATAAAGTTGAGTCTAACTTAATCTAATCTGATAGTATATGCTTGGATGTGACCTGTGATTAACTGCATCCCATCCAGGATGGATCCCTTCTATGTTTCCTATGGTGCTTGGGTTAGACTCCAGGCTCCCCAGGATAAGACGACAGAGTCTTTCTTGAAGTGAAAGAAACAGCTCAGTCCACAGCTATTGCCCTTGATGAAGAGCTGGACTAAGGAATGTTTGGTGTTATTTTAGGTGGCATAACTTGATACCAACCTCGGACTTAACACTTTATTTGTGTAGACAAACTTGGCGCAAGGTGACACATTACGTAATGTTGCCAGGGGAACACTTTACTTGAAGTTGTCATCAATAATGCATTATGGATACCTTCATAATGCATTACAATGGTCAGTATAAGAATTAATAAACCATTACAGAATCTTCTATTGGTTATAAGGCATTATAGTGTTAATTATAATACTTCCTAAGCCCTCATCTATAATGCACTATAGATACCTTCATAATGCATTACAATCATTTGTATAACAATTAAGTGTAATAGTGCATTACAGATGCATTCATAAAGTATTATAAACACGGCTATAACTATTTATTACAAGGCAGGGGAGCCTTGGAGAGAGTAAGTTGTATGAGAGGCAAAGATCATAATGAGCAAGTAGCAAGGACAGAAAGAAATATAAAAATAAGAAATATGAAAGCTATAAATTGGTGAACTAAATGAACATAATTAAATAACTACAAATTACCTAGGGAAATCCCCCACAGTATTAAGAATGCTTTGTACTGCATTATGAAGGTACTGTATTTACAGTAAAGTGCATTACAGGTGAGAGCTTCATAAAGCGTTCATAATGCGTAATAAACATGGCTATTAACTAAACTTGTAGTCCAGTTACTCTGTGAGAAGATTCCAGTGAAAGTTTAAGTGTAGTAGCCTGGTCTGGGAGCAGTAACCCTGACAAGGTACCTGTGGATGTTTCTTTGCAGCACTCCTGCTTGTTTCTGTTCGTTCAGGACCTGTAATTTCATGGCCTCTTGTTCCTGCTCGCTTTGTGGACTCAGTCCATCCATCAGCCATTGCTCCCGCAAGGATTTTTTCTGTTTGCAGAGAAGGACACTTTGTGTAACTCAGGTAAGTGCTTGCCATTAGACAAATGCATTGCTGCCCAAGAAATTTAGCAAGAAATAGCCAGTCTAGACTATGTAATAAAATTGTTTGACTGAGAGTTTTTGAGTTTTATAAATTAATTTTGAAACCAGTCATTTCCCGTTTTAAAGCACAGAACATATCTGCTTTTAATTTATGAATATTTAAAATTCTGGAGCAGTGTCAGAAATAATTTTTTTTTAAAATGTATCCTAGAGTCAGTGAGTCAAACCTACAACCTTTTAGTTGTGACAACACAGTGCTGCCCTTGGAGACATCATGCCACCCTAACTTCCAAATTATTTTAAAAATCTATGTTTTATTTGTCAGTATTCTACCATAAGCTGTAACATAGAATTTCAGGTTATGTAAAAAAAATCTTGCTATTCTAGAGTTTTTAAACACAGTAGACATAAAGTATAGCAGCAGTTACCGGAAATTCTATCACTGGTAACAGAAAAGCATGAAGAAACTCTGACGTGTGAAAAGTCAGACCCCGAATGGCGAAAGGAAGTACCTTCAAATACTGTAGTTTCAGCTTCTCCTCTTCAATTTCTAACTTCTTCTTGACAATGTCTTCTTGGAGTTTTCTCTTATCCTAAAGTGAACAGACAAGGGCCAAAATGTCTTTACATCACTTCTCTTTGCCCTTGAGACCAAGGAGACGCAGCTTCCAGGAAATGGCAGGCCTCGTTCTAACAGCAGTTACGAAGGCTTGTTTTGGAAAAGGTAGCCAATGGGAAGCTGCCGCGGCCCACTCTGTCCGACAGGGGGACGAATGTCAGAGGCCGTTTTTCTGGGCTTTGGGAGGGGAGTGACACCACTGCTCAGAGATTCGACACATTCACTGGCTTCATCCCCTAAAAATACCAGCAGCTGCCTTTGACACATATGTTTACATATATACGACATTTACTGTACTAGAATGCGAGTGCCGTGAGGGTGATGAAAGGCCCACACATGTAGCCATAAGGAAATAGGGTATTAACTCTGTGAAGGTTATGATTGTCACTGTCCTCAAGGGTGACGTTATGTCCAGTGTACAGAAATAAGCTACTGAATGCTTTTAAATATATTATGTAAAGAGGAAAGCAAATAAAGTTTGTGTATTGTGGGTCGTCAAGGGAAAAACAATCTGTTGTTGGATTTTTTTGGATCGCCGTTGTCTTTCGTTTTTTGTCCGAAACAGCCTTCAGTATGAAATGATTCACCCTCGCAGAACAAATTATCAAAAGCATCCCAAGCCAGGGCCACCAACTTGAATGAATGCTCTGAGAACACACAGGAACTAAAGATGCAGTTGTGTTGCTTCACGATTTTTCTCCATCATTTAATAGTCATCTGCACAAGGACTTACTTGTGACCTTCAGAAAACACTTAATTTCAATATTTATTATATAAGTCAGATCATTTTTAATAATTTCATTCATCAGCACACACTTTTTGCTAGTTAATGAAGAATAAACATAAGCCTTATATACAGTATATATAATGAATTGCCAAATACATATAAAAATACCTGCTCCCTAATTTAATAAAACACTTTTTTAGGGACTGATATATTCACATCATTCCTTAACGCACATGAATTTTAAAATGCTGCTTTACCGTTATAGCTTGAAGCCGCTCTCTCAGCAAGTCTGCTTCATCCATAGCGACCCTGGAACAGAGAAAATGGAGTCTCCTAAGAAGGTAAGAAGGTGGCAAGATCAGAGCCAGTAGCTGGGTGACCGTGGGGCTGAGGGTCTGTTGGGATGGGACGGAGGTACTGGCCGGTTTATCTGACGCTGAAGCAGACAATGGGAGTGTAGTTTGGGCAGGAGTTTGGGGCGGGGGCGGGGGTGGGGTTAGCTGAGGTGGAGGCCAGTCGAAATACCCAGCATGCCTCACTGACAAATCAGGTGTCAGATTTGTCTCAGTAAAGTTGCATGAACTGTACTGTGGTATACTGGGAACCTGTCACTGTCTTCTGTGTTCACCTTCCATGCTGGCAGCAGTAACAATGTAGGGGAAAGAGTAACTGCTCTTTTTATGAGAAATACTCCAAAAATATCAGCCATGTCATTCTAGGGTTAAGAGAAATTAACCCTCAGATAACCAGATTTTTATGAATTATTTGTGAAATATTTACTTTAAATTCCCAGGACCAAAATTAAGGCTAATTTAAATGGCAATTTAAATAAATTGGCAGCTTTTATATTAGAATCCCTTCAGTTTCCCTTACTAAAGGGCACCATAGAGCAGCTATACTAAAACTTTGATCGAACCCATTAGTATACCACTAATAGTAATAGTACTAATACTAACAGTATAATGATCAAATTTGACCTCCGTCTTATAGGTACACCAAACTCCACCTTTTACACTTATATAAAGGTACCAGCGTAGCATTTCTTTGGGGGGGGGGGTGCATAGCCATGACTGTATCTCAGCCCTGATCCCTTATTTCCAAGGTCAGGAAGTTTTCAATGTGACTGAAAGATCAAGTTTGTTTCATGAGGCCACAAGCATTAATGCATTAAATTGCAATGATCCATCCAGCCTAGTTAATTTATGTTAGCAGTCAAGGGAGGTGTTATTTTTTTGTCCCGACTTCATATTTAATTTAATAACACTGCTCAGAAAAAAACTTGTGTGAGGAAGATATTAAAACTCCACTGACTGGGGACCACAATCTTTATGTTTTGCATGGCATGAACAAAAACAAGACATGAACAAAGAAAGTCATACTTATAACCTCCTGAGACCCGACCTATTCATTTATGTCCATTGTAGTGGACATTGTATTTTTGCATTTATTTTTTCACTGATGTTGGGAAACGTATTTATTCTTGTTGTGCACTAAAGAGGACATGCTGTGAAATTAAAATAAGAATAAAATGAAAAAATCTAAATTGTAAGATGTCTTATTTCCTCCAAAGACAAATAACCTACAATTGAAGGACACTTTTTTCCTTGGGTCTCAGGGGGATAAAGCAGTCGCAACATTCTGGATTGAAGTAACAGGAGAAAAAGAAAATCGTGGAATACCAAAATGCATGCTGTGCACTAGATATGTTGTTTATGGGTAATTATAACAAATGACATCATCTCTCCTTTTCTGCAGGCTTTCAGGTGAACTGTGAAATCTCCAGGTCACGTAATGGTACAGATATTACGCGTGAAGCTATTCCTGCATGTTCACTTTCTAGTGGATCTTTTGTCTATTCACTGAGAAGTAATTTTAATATTTCTAAATAAATAAATAAATAAATAAATAAATAAAGTGATTTGCAATTAATTAAACATTGCCAGTAGGTAGCATAATACATAGTTAAGGTTGCTGTTTGTAATTGTAAAATGTCGGGTTCAGATTTGTGGTGTGTTCGCCTTTCAGCACGGTGCTTAAACTACTCCAGTGCGGTTTGTCTCGCAGCATAAACAAAGTGTAAGTCACCTTGCGTAACAGGCACTGACTGGGCCCACCACGTTTATAATTATACGCCACCCGGCAGTTATGTCACAGTGAGATGTTAGTTTCTGTAGCACCAGCGTGAGATACTGACATTTGCAATCTACGCTAGTCACATGGCATCTCAGCATTTTTCTTACTAACGGGACACACACTGTCAGCCTGCTGTCGGCAGAAACACTGCATTCACGCATATATGCAAGAGGAACAGACACGCCCACACATACACAGCTGGTGGGAGCTGCAGAATGGCTGTGCATATCATGTTGCATCAAATCACCGCATGTTATGCACCAAACGTGGTGACCGGGAGTGTCCCCCACCCCCCATTAAAATCTGACATGGAAGGAACCATAAAGCATGTAAAAAATAGACATAATCTCTGCTGAAGCTTTATGAAATGTAACCAGTTAAACTAAACCCAGTTCTTAATCATTATCAGTGCTCCACCTCAAAAGTGATTAAAAGTAAAACAATCTGCCCATTTTTCATATTGATCTGGTCCTTAATTCCATGTGCTTGTCTTCTCTGTTTTATAAACCATCTAGACATTCCTAGTTTATCTGTCCAAAGGATGGTTCTAAATTGGTTATTTGACTGTTTCGGTGGAGATTTCCATTGATCTGACCTCTTGGATACAGCATTGACCCCCCATGGCTGCATAACTTTGATGAACTAATGATCCAACCATTGAATGACCTGCTCAGAGCTCTGGGACTCTGGGTATCTGTTAGTAGGACAGTTCACACTTAGGACTGAGTCTCTCTGGTTTCTGTGCTGTATGGACTAACACATTCAGCACAGGACTTGGGAATCAGTCTTAAAATATACAGCACAGGCTGAACAAAAAGAACATACAACTAACAATGTATGATAAAATAACAAATTTCCATAAAAGTCAATAAAACATTTTGCAACCCACAAGCCCTTATAAATTGAATAAATCGCTTAACCCTTTTCATGTGAGATTTACAGTGTATATAGGTTGAATTTATGTAATACTGCCGGATGAGTCACTGTGGGATGTGGAGAGAAGATGAGAGTGGGCGTGAATGGGAATGCAGCAGGGAAACGACCTACAGAGAAGAATTCTGTGGAATGAAGGGCATTTAATCAATGTCATGGAACACTGGGAAGTTCCAGAACACATCTGACCAAAGGTGCTTCCCCTCTTCCCTTTCTTTTTTCACGTTTAGCATGATAAACTACAAGTAATTACCAGCTCAAGTAACTCAAAAGCTCTGACAATATATTTAACCCATATCACTCCCGTAAGATTTCCAGCTGTTTAAGTGTAGAGAGATTGTAAGCTGGTTTAGACAAACACATCAGATGCAACCGAATGTAAGTCTGCAGATAGAGGTGGGGCGGGGAGGGGGGGGGGTCTTAAATTTAGAGATGGCTGTGATACCCTCACCTGTTCGCACCGAATCCGTTTCTAAGCCTGTGCCTGGTCTAAAATTAGCCGGCCACACGGCTTTAATGTCAGCAGATGTGACACGGTGGCTCTGTGCGAGCCCCCGCAGGAGAAGGCTTCTGGCGGGTGACGTCGCCGTTAGGGACAGAGTCTCCATGGCACAGAACTCAAACGCTGCCCTGAGTAACCCTGCAGTTAATGGGACGGTCCGTCGGCAGGCCGGAAGGGCCACTTCCCGGGTGAGCCGCACGGCGACGCCGCGTCTATAAGCCACCCTTTCTGCCACATCTTTGATTTCATGGCCCCTCATTAGCTGCTGCGATGCTCCAGTGATGAAAGGCATGCCACATGTCACTCACCGTTTCCTCGACCCTGCACCGGCATCACCGCTTGGCTGTTCCAAGTGTGGGACGAGGTTTTTAAATCTGCCTGTAATCCGATCGCTAATCGTTTAAGTGCTAAAGCATTGCAACTGTCAAACTAACTGGACAGTGATTTGCGAGCTCTGTACCACCTGTACTTGTGAAAATGACAGATACTAACTGTGATACGCATAAGTCTTGGGTCTGTTACAATTCTGTAATTCCAAATGCAGAATTTTTCAAATACCTTGAAAATCAGTTTCAATGGTACAATTTTACGAGTACCCCAAAAGGAAACTGTCTTTTTTAGAGCACCACTGTGTAACACCACTGTAACACAAGTGACAATTCCTGACTGTGTGACTTTCTATGCTGAGATGATTTACATGGAGTGGTCCTGCGATCAAGGGAAAGTGTTTTTTTTTTATCTTAAGTCCGGTGACAAAAGGTCTGGCAGGCCTCCTGCAGAGGAATTGTATGCTAGAAATAGATGCATGCTTAAAGGGTTATAAGCGATTATGAAATACCCCCTAAGGTTACCATTCATTAGTTCATTCATCATGCAAAATAAGAGCATATTACTGTAACCTGGAAAATGAGACAATGTGCCATTTCTGGTACCAATTAACAGTTTATAAGGGTTGCTGTCTATCTACTATGTTTTGTATCAAATTCTTCTCGGAAAGCGGAGATCCACAAAGCTACATAGAGCCAAATTGAATAAGACCGAAAATAACCAAACTCCACAGAAATCCCACAGACAAAGGCACTCACCGAATGTGTCTGAAAGAGTCGGCTTTCTGGGAGGTAAGTACAGGCAGTCAGAGATCACTATCGTGCAGACGGTCCCACATCACCAAGCCGGGAGTTCAGGTAGGCTGAGGGTTGAGCCGAGGTTACAGAAGACAGGAGGGTTGCCCTCTCTCACCAGCGAAAGCGGGGCGGGTTCTCCAAGAGGATCAGCCCTTCCCTACCGCCGAATCCTGTCGGATCCAGGCTGTTCAGCCATGTGCGAGTCCACATTTTACTGCCAGACAAATCCGCACCCCCCTCAACCCCCCCCCCCAACCCACATAGCCACCTCCACACACACACGCACACACATACACACACTCAAAGTTGGGAGCCGGTTGCTTTCTCTTCCCGCTGTCTGTGCAGCTGTCCCCCCCACTGATGGACTTGAACAGGCAACAGCACTAACACACAACTAGAAGATCGCCCCCCCCCCCCCCCCCACCCTGAAAAAAAAAAATAGCTCTAAAAGACACTGGTGGTGTAGCAAGCTGTGCTGATTATCCAAACTTTCATTATTTATTCTCTAATTACATATGGATGTGTTCTGGCTTGCATGTCATTAGCACTTTCAGTCGGCATGATCTACAAAGACATTCACACGGGACGTGCATGCATTGGTGCAAAAACACACAGAAACAGTACACCACTATAATACAGCGAAACTTGCTATGTAATATAGTAAGGCTGTATTGTTAAATCTAAAGCGTTATTTAATACATTTTATGAAGCAATATTGATAAATGACAAGGTAATTTGAACTGACATATAATTATATAATGATTTGTCTTGTAGCTAGCAATGGTTATTCTATAGACAGCTTCCCCTCGAATAACCTGTCTTCATTTACCTTGGACCAGTGAGGTTTATATTAAAACTGCACTGGCTATGTGGATCGTCAGTAGATAACCATATTAGTCACATCGATGCTGAGAGCTGCAGGCAGGAGGGGTATCCATGGCAACATGAAGAACTCTCCAAATGCTCACTTCTCCATAATCTAAAGATACTACATAGCTATACAGTTACAAGCTGTTTTTTTCACTGGATACTAAATGTCATGTACTGGTAACAGTGAGAAATCTTGTGGTTATTTCAACAATTCTTTACATGATCACACGCTAGTCAAAATATATTTGCAAAACAAAAACCCTGTAAGATTTTGGAAAATTAGGTATTTGGCTTATATCAGACTTGTTTATGCAGCATTTCAATGGCTTTTTTTTCCCAAATTGGACTCCTAATGGATCCAGAATGAGGAAGAAGAATAACTAAGGATTTTTAATAAGTGAAACAGTGTGAAATTCATATTATTGCAAATACAACATTTTATTATTAAGCATGATGTGTGTGATTGTGTGTTTATGTGTGTATTCGCAGGGGAGGAAGAGCGGGGGAGAAGGAAGTCTTGCTGCAACCCCCACCTACAGAGAGAGAGAGAGAGAGAGAGAGAGAGATAAGCAGGGGGGGCATATGGAGAATGGGAATACATCCTAAAAAATACCCGCTTATTTGAAGGTATTTTAAAGCTACAATATAAATAATAAATGGCGCAGGTAGGTGGAAATATATTGTGCAAGTCGGATACAAAATACTGAATAAATATCATAAGGGACTCACACATAGAAGGGATTGTTACTGTATTTACAGAGTTAAGAGAATGCCAAACGTTTTCGTGTTTGTAATTCCTATTTGTGACTTAATTGGTCCGTAGGCGTAGGGCATTTTGCATCCTTGTATTATGCCATTAATATGCATGTTGTATTATCTTAGATTCCTTATTACAACTGTACAGCCTATTTTAGGAGTATGGCGATATTCGCTTTAGAGTATTCGTATTATAAAACACGTTGCTGCTAATTAGTTTTCTGCTAATCGATTCTTGATGATATTGTTGATCCAGCACAGGACTGCGATGAGCTTGGTGCCTATTCTGGGAAGCAGAGGGCACGAGGTAGAGAATATTGCGGATGGGATGACAGTCCTTCTTATGACACACACATGTTCTGGGTCTGCAGGAGAAAACATACCGATGACATACATACACAGTAGGGTGAGTGTCAAGATCCCAGCCCATGTAATCACTGTGCCACTATCTGTAAACTCACCTTCTGTTGTATGTGATGCTGTCTCAAATAATTAGGCCTTAGAGTAAGAATGCAAAACCAGATATCAATTAACTTCGTTAATCCAAAGAATTTGATATGGGGCAAAGCTATGAAGATAGCTGACTAAATGTAAGCAATATTCTTAGCAACATAGTATGAATGTAACGGCATTAGAGGGGCGGAGTCCCTTGTAAACATTCATATCAACATTCATCCAGGTGGAATGTCGCAAATTTTAAATATAGCTATTCAATGACCCCCCCCCCCCCCATCTTTTTTTTCTCAGCTAGACAATTGAAACTGATCCATAATGAATAGTGCTATGAAGCTGGGTTAATGCTTACAATTATGGTTAGCTTATATGGCAACTCTGTTCCAATTTACCCATCTATACAAATGCAAAATAAGAGGCTTTTACATAAATACTCTAAACTGGCTGTGAAATTTAAAGTTATATGAGTTTAAAATATACCACTTTTTCTGTCCCGGCGATTATGTAGTTTAACTTTACAACTATACAAGTTCATGTAAATGACCATAAAATCTATTAGCACTTAGATACAAGTGTTGCAAGATATTCAACACTACTTTTATCATCATGCAGCATATCTACAAATTTTATATCTAATAAATAATGAATATTTTGTTAAGTGTCAAGCCAAAAAAATCTTTGCTAGTAATTAAATGTGTGATAAAAAAAGTCTTTGGTTGATGTTAGAGCGTAACAATTGTTTCTTGTGTAATAGTTTTGGACCATATTAATTGGAAGAAAAGTTTGGAGAGATCCGGTAGCATTCTGCTGGAAATAGTGTAGCTCCATAGATTTTTGACTGTGTGTTTTTGTGCCCATCCACATTCCAGCCTATTATCCAGTGTTGGGTAGTGCTAGTGCCTATCCAACGGGCAGTGCCATCCAGGGCAGCCGTCCATTGCAGACACAACTGCACTATATGGGAAATGTTGAGATGCTAGTTCATCTAGCTACGTATTGTTTGGACTGCAGGAGAAAACCCAGGGATGACATGCAAACTGCACACAGACTGTGGAGGTGGGACTCAAATCAGCAACCCAGAAGATGTGAAGTGACAGTGCTACGAATCATATGAGTCTGTTTTATTGCTGCTATGGGCAATTATATGTATTCATACTGCAAGTACTCTGAACATGCTAGGTTACACATTTGTATACATCTACCATACAGACAAGTACTCTGAACATGCTAGGTTACACATTTGTATACATCTANTCTACCATACAGACAAGTACTCTGAACATGCTAGGTTACACATTTGTATACATCTACCATACAGACAAGTACTCTGAACATGCTAGGTTACACATATGTATACATCTACCATACAGACAAGTACTCTGAACATGCTAGGTTACACATATGTATACATATACCATATATACAAGTACTCTGATATGCCAACACTAGAGTTGCTTGTTAGGAACAATCAGAATATAATCAGTAATCTTAAATCGCAGTGTAGTTGCTGATTTTTTACACAGGGCAAATATATTCCTTCATTCCTTCCATCCATCCATCCATCCATCCATCCATCCATCTGTAGCCACACATCCAGTACTGGGTCAAAGTGAGCATAAAGTATATGCCTGGAAGCCCAGGGCACAAGGCCAGGGCAATAAAGCCAAAATGCGTTACAGGATATAGACTCATTTTAGAGATTCAGAGACCCAGTTCACCCAATTGCACAATTTTGGAGTTTATCTCGTAACTGGAGTGTACAGAGGTGGGATGTGAGATGAGGCAACGGTGCCCACCCCCTGAGCCACTGGGCTCCCCGATGATATTTCACTTTATTCCTTAGCATTGGCTTTCTGTCTTCCACACATCAGAAAATCCATTTATAAAATAAAACATCAACTAATGACATGAGGACACATTTCTGAAAAGGACAACTACATATATAAAATAGCCGGCGTCTATAAAGGTCAGCGTAGCTGTCACATGGCTGCGGTGGAAGGTCTTAAAAGCATTTGCCTCGACACAGTCCCTGGGCTGCCAATGAGCTCCACTGTGACAGAATGCAAGCTCAAGCAGCGGTCAAGCGCAGAGGGACCCCGACATATAACATCCAGGCTTGTCCAGCTTGCACTATTTATGGTCACCTCAGCAACGCGACCCCCACCAGCATGCCGCATTCCCCACACGCCTCTTAATTAATGAAAATGTATTCAAAATCTGTCATGGCCGCCGTCAGCATCCTGTCCCTCTCAGCGGTGGAATTATTCACATTCGCTGCTTCCTACTCACATTCTGTTGTAGGAGCTGATTGCGCCGATCAATCTGAATGTGATTCCGGAAAAACAAGATGCTGATTTGGAAAGGAATTAGTGCTGTATTATAATTCCTAGAAAAAAAAAATGCCACAAGGCTGTTTGAGAAACATTAAGTAAAAAAAAAAAGCAACTAAATGCTTTTAAAATTCATTTTGGTCTAGATCATTCCTTCAATTTTGGCTCATCAAAGGGCTGATCTCTGCATTTGTTTCTCTAAGCACCTGAAGCTATTATTCTGGGACTTTTTTCACTTCAGTGCTTGGCAACACTTAAAGTAAGTGTCGGACTAAAACAGCTTTCGCCCACTGAGCGCATTTCCAGACTGAGCGTCTGCCTGGACCTCTGAGTGTCACACACAGGTGTACGGAGACAGCAGAAACCTCAAAAACCATCCTGCGGATTGTGGCGCGGCAGAGGACAGTCAGCAAACCACTCAGGCCATGCATCTGCTTTGCGGTCCGGCTCCCTTGTCAGAAACTCCGGACACATGAGAATGTGACAGCTGAGACCCACACAGGTCTTGATGGACGAGGCCAAGTCACACTGAAGGAAGCCAGGAGAGCTGACAGCTGAATCACTTAGGAATAGGGAAAATCGGGTATTTTTCAAACCAGTGTTTCTGAGAACTCAAGCTGCTAAACACGCATTCAGCCAAATACAAGCATACAGTATATTGATAAACTCTCCGGGCAGAGCTCAGAATATATACCTCTATTTGTATCCTGTCTTTACACTCTTGTCTCAAACATATTGGCCTTTTAGTACTAGATAAGCAGGTAAAAAATTGATTGATAGGTGGATGTTGTACTGGCACTTATCAGGGGGTGAGCAGTGATGAATGAATGAA